TAATCTGATAAAAATATAAACATAAACATGTATACATACACATATATTCATATATCCATGTACAATTTAATCTTAGAATAGAAGCATTTTCCTTAACTTTCTCTTATTCATATCACCAAATTGTTCCTCCTAGGACAGCTATCATCTAAGGATAATAATATGCAATAAATAGCAAGTAATTAAGTGTCTCATGTAAATAATCCCTCTCTAACAAAGATTAACTTGTTCAGGAACTGATTAAGCCGAAACAATTCAGCAATAAAACTCCTACATGCATACTCCAAGGTTTAACTAACACCCCTCCATAAAATGAGGCAAATTTATAGTAAATAACAGCCCAGTCATGTAGCTTATATTTCTTAGAAATAAGAAACAGTTCAACTTAAAAGTAAATTCATTAAAACAAAATTCAGTTAGATTAACTGACTGTGAGTTAAAACAGCAACCTGTTAATGCTGTTTTCAGAACAGCATAATAGGTAAAAATTTGATGTGTTAAGATGAGAACAACTGTATACACAAGAGATCTAATAAAAAATAAAATACACTTTAAAATACTGGTTAAAATAGATAAACTGTAATGTATCTAAATCCAGGGCAGCGCCTGTGGCTCAGTGAGTAGGGCGCCGGCACCATATACCAAGGGTGGCAGGTTTGAACCGGCCAGGCCAAACTGCAACAAAAAACTAGCCAGGCATTGTAGTGGGTGCCTGTAGTCCCAGTTACTTGGGAGGCTGAGGCAAGAGAATCACCTAAGCCCAAGGGCTAGAGGTTGCTAAGAACTGTGAAGCCACGCTCTCTACTGAGAGTGACAAAGTAAGACTCTGTGTCTAAAAAAGAAATAATAATAATGTATCTAAATCTAACTTTGCAAAAGAATAAGAAGAAAACTAGGATGGTTTCTAAGGAACATACAAGGAAATATTACACTGGCAAAAATCATTACACTTCAAAATACTGAATACTAAATGATTTTCAGGTTGTTTTGTATGTGCTTGTTTTGACCTAGACCCATATGGCTCTCCAATTTTACTTTACAAATCCCAAGACATGTAATGTTTCCAGGTAGTATGCAATAAACAGCACAACAAAGCAAGCCTCGGGACCAAAATAAGCCAAAAGAGATGCAGATTCACTAAATCCACAAAAACATTCATAAGTTTAAGCAAATTAGATTTCCTTGTATAAAATATTTCACATTTTGCATTTATGATATTCAGCAGCTATGTTTTTTTGTACACCACTAAAATGAACCTTCGACCAGTTACATATTACAACAAAAACATCATAGGATCACAGGTTTTACAAGTGAAGTTTACACCGGAAATCTGTTTGTATAAAATTTCTCTATATGAATAATTAATTCATCACTGTTCAAGATTGTATACGCTCTTTTAAATAGAAAGCTTTTAAATGCAACAATAATTTTATTACTAGTATATTTTATCTTCCCTCAGTGGACCAAGAATGATATGCCATTTTTGTTTCAATAACAGGCAATATCTAGTAAGTCAAAAACCTACCTCTTATTAAATTAGTCTTACACATTAGATTTTTTAAACTTATTATTGACAGTTATTATAACTGCAAGTTAAAATCCACTACTCACCCTACATATTACCCACAGAGAAACGAAGGTAGCAGTAGCAGAAATACCCTAAGGTTCATTATACATGTGTTACCTGGTATGAATTACACAAACCACAAACTCCTAAGATTATGAAAAAAAAAAAAGATGTTGATGGTGAAACAGTGCTATATATGGCAGAAATTATTTTTTCAACACAATTCATTTATTTTTCTTTTTAGTATAAAATGATGCAGACCTTAAAACAAATTTTTTGTACATTATTAATCAAAATAAAAATAATTGCAAAAAGGTAGATGTGTTGTTTAAATAGTTTTAACTTGGATCTAGGATACATCTAGGCAATTCTGCTTATCAAATCCAAGATTAGAATTTTTAGGAAAAAAATCGGAGGCAGTTATTCACTTTAGCAGAGAATGAGAATAAGGTCATTTAGTCAATAGTCTGATTTGTTTAGGGGTAAACCACAATGACCAATTCTATCAGTTTATCTTTAGGAATTCAATGTTTTTAGAGTCATAAGATGCAGACAATAAGCCATTATATTCAGTATGTGGCTCCATTGTCTAAGTACCCTCTGATTCAAGTACTGAGCAACACTAACGAGCAAGTATATTCTCTTTGGAGTAACTGAAATGGAATATCAAAAATTATAAAGTTTTTCAAACATAACAGTAAAGTATATTGATGATTAGTTAAGTAAAACCCAGGTGTGCTGGCTCACACCTGTAATTCTAACACTCTAGGAAGCTGAGGTAGGAGAACTGCTTGAGCTCAGGAGTATGAGACTAGCCTGAGTAAGAGTGAGACTCTGTGTCTACTAAAAATAGAAAAACTGTCCAGGTTTTGTGGTGGGTGCCTGCAGTCCTAGCTACTTGGGAGGCTGAGGCAAAAGGATCACTTAAGCCCAAGAGTTTGAGGTTGCTGTGAGCTATGAGGATGCCAGGGCATTCTACCCTGGGCAATAGAGTAAGACTCTGTCTCAAAAAAAAAAAAAAAAAGAAAACAAATATATTTCTCAAAAATTATCATCAATGCTTACCTTATAATTTCTTAATTATAACCTAAAAGAAGTGAAATGGTCAAATTACACACCTGAACATTTTCAAGAATCTCCTGGACACGAGTCAGTAAAGATTTCTTCCTATTAACCTGCTTTCTTGCTTCTACATCAAGTGCTTTCTGCTTTTCCTGTTGCATTTCTTTTCTTTTCTCAATGTTAAGCTATAAAACATCATAAAAATGTAATTATTTCTCAGCTATAAAAATACCATTAAATCAAAGAATATATTTGAAGATGAATATATTTGAATGATTTAAAACGTGCAAAACTAATAATCTATAGTGAAAGAAACAGGAACAGTGGCATAGGAGTATTGAGTGGGATGGGACATACAAGATCTTTCTGTGGTAATGAAAATATTCTGTATGGGTGTAAGTTATATAGGTGTGTGCCATATATCAAAATTCATGGAACTTTGACACTTTAAGATCAGTGCATTTTACTGTATGTAAATAATTCTCAATTGAATAAAAGTTAAAAGAAAAAAATGTTCACTTATCAAATGCTCTAAAATAATAGAAATAACATTGGCCCTTTTATTGGACATTGCTGAAGCTTTTCATTACTTCACTTTAATATTCACTTGAATATTATTTTGCTTTCAGTATCTTACTTCACTGGGTCAGTTAGATTCTTCAATGTTTAATCTTCTAATCAGTGTACTTCTAATCAGCATCTCTTTGCTGCCTCAAGAAAATGCCCAAAGGTTTAATGATAAAAGAAACAGATGTTTTATTTGCCTACGAAATCAGAACACATTTTTTATTTCACCTGATTGTACCCTCCAATAAACATTTAATGTACCTAAAAAAATTGAAGGCTTCTAAGCATTACATATCTTTTTATGATAGACTAATATCTTAATTAAGTCCTGGGAAGTTTAGTCATTATGTTAAGAGTCAAGACTTATTTTATACTTTGCAAATGAAAAAAGTCATTAAAAAATTATTCAAGCATTGCAATATTTGTCTATCAAATACAACATAAAAGTGTAGATTAGGTATATAATCAGATGTTGCTTATAAATAAATAACTGATGGAGTCATAGGCTCCACACAGCAAGCCTCAGACATTTTGGTCCATATTAAGTCAAGCAATATGTCATCAAATAGCTGCTAAAAATATTATAAAATTTTTTTTTCTGACCAGGTGCGATGGCACATGCTGGTAATCCTTCCAGTATAGGAGACCCAGGTAGGAGGGTTCCTTCAGCTTAGGAGTTCAGAGACTAAACTCAGCAAGAGCAAGACCTTGTCTCTAGTAAAAATAAAAAATTAATCGGGTGTTGTGGGGGACACCGATAGTCCCAGCCACTTGGGAGGCTGAAGCAGGAGGAATGTGAGTTTGCTATGAGCTAGGCTGATACCACAGCACTCTAGCCTGGGCAACAGAGTAAGACTCTGTTTCAAAATAATAATAATAATAATTTTTTTTTCCCTATTTGCTTGGTACCAAAGAATCATTCCACAGTTTACTTGATAAACAAAAAGGAAAAAACACACATATTAAAAAACTGACAGTCACCACTGTAAGCAAGTGATATCAAACTAAACATCACTAATTAGAGGGACAACTAAACAGTATATAACTTCTGACTTAATTTAAGAAGAACATAGCATCATCACCAAAGAATTCTTGTCAGAAATTTTTAATCTGATTCTAACCAAACTTTAGAATTAACTTCCAAATTACAGGAACCACAAGGACTAAAGGAAGAAGTTAAATATCACCACAAGGAAACAATTAGACAAATCCAAAATTTAAGGCACTAGACAAGACAATCTGTCTAATCTCTTTAAAAATTCAGTATCATAAAAAAACTTTTTAAGAGGTAGAAGTACAGTTCTACATTAAAAGAAATGAAAAAAACATAATAAAAAATTTTATTTGTGAATTTCCACTGGGTCCAGATTAGGGAAAAAAGCTATAAAAGGTATTTTGAGCACAAATGGGAAATTTGAATATGAACAGAATATTAGGTGCTATTAAAAATTATTATTCATTTTCTTAAGGTGTGATAATAATATTAAGGCTTTATATAGGAGAATGCCCTTGTTTTTAAGGAGAAGTATACCAGAATATTTAGGAGAAAAGTGTCAGGTACCTGCATGGTTCATTACAGAAAAAACTATTTAAGAATAAAGTTTACCAGTGGAGAAAGCACAGCCACTCCATGGAAGCGAATAAGTGAAATACTTTCAGACTGGGAAGGTAGAAAGCTCTCTGAGGATAGTGATGCTTCTTGTATTCTGGCAAGACTTTTTTCACAGAACTTCTCATACTCCTCCATCTTCTTACAATTCTACTACTAGGGAGAAAAATGCATTTTTAATATGCTGAGAAAACCAGATCTTAATTATTTGGCAAATTTGTAGAGCAGGATATAGTCCTGGCATTCGCAGTTCCTATAACTGATCTTCCCAGTACTATCTAACTAACCATGAGCTAATTCTTGGGTATACTAAATCACCTGAAGACAAACTTGTTTCATATATTAAACATTAAATATTTTTGAATATTTTTGTATGTAAATCAATCTTTAAATGTGACTATTTCCAGATGAATATTAAGAACTTTCCTTAAAGGAAACAAAGTTCTGTATCACTTTACCAACTTCAGATTGTAAAATAAGATATATACACATATTTTTTGACAGTAATTATCATCACAGACAAGTACCTATAAAGTATACATACCATACAAAGGTAAAAATGCTTCTGTTACAAAAAAGATAAGATCTACTTAAAAGAATATTTACTTTTTTTTTTTGAGACAGTCTCAAGCTGTCGCCCTGGGTAGAGTAACGTGGAGTCATAGCTCACACCAACCTCCAATTCACGCTTAGCCAATCCCCTTGCTTAAGTTTTTCTATTTTTAGTAGACACTGGGTCTTGCTTTTGCTCAGGCTGATCTAGAACTCTAGCTCAAGCAATCCACCCACCTCAGCCTCCCACCATGCTAGGATGACAGATGTGAGCCACCACACCTGGCAAGAATATTTATTTTGAAAAATTCTTTTTCATGGGGTGCTGGCCCCATATACGAGGGTGGCAGGTTCGAACCCAGCCCTGGCCAAAAATGCAACAACAACAACACCAAAAATAGCCAGGTGTTGTGACAGGCACCTGTAGTCCCAGCTATTTGGGAGGCTGAGGCAAGAGAATCGCCTAAGCCCAGGAGTTGGAGGTTGCTGTGAGCTGTGACACCATGGCACTCTGCCGAAGGTAACAAAGTGAGACTCTGCACCCAAAGAAAAAAAAAGAAAGAAATTATTTTTCTTTTATGAAGTTCAAAGGCTATTACTTGGATCCTTTTTTTTATTTAAGAGAATGAATCTCACTATTTTGCCCTGATTAGCTTACAGTGGCTATTCATAAGTGGAATCATAGCATGTTACAGCCTTGAACCCCTGGGCTCAAGTGATCATCCCATCTCAGCTTGCATATCTTAAGACTATATATGACTCCATGGCACCAGCCAATTCAGAGGTGAAAAAAACAGAAAATCTACCAACAGGTATTAATTCTATTTTTTCAAATTTACATATATTGTTAACTTTTTCTTCTTTTTAAATTTTAGGCTCAGTGCCCATAGCTCAGTGGTTAGGGTGCCAGCCACATGCACCAGGACTAGTGGGTTTGAACTCAGCCAGGGCCTGCTAAACAATAACAAAAAAATAGCCAGGCATTATGGCCAGTGCCTATAGTCCCAGCCTTTGGGAAGCTGAGGCAAGAGAATTGCTGAAGCCCAAGAGTTTGAGGTTGCTGTGAACTGTGATGTCACTGCACTCTACTGAGGGTGACACAGTGAGACTCTGTCTCAAAAAAAAAAAAAACTTAGACTAATGTAGGGTACATACAATTAGATTATGTTGTTTACATTTGTAAAGTAAAATCTGAGCTGTAGTCCAGGAAGTGTGCCATATACCAGTGGTATTAATTCCACTTTATTGTTGAGAATTGGAACCATCACCAAACTACTTAAAACTATCAATCCAGTATTCACATTTCTGTGAATTTATCCAAATTTCACAATTTCTGGGAAATTTTAGGCAGCTATGAAAGTAAAAGGTAAACAGGAAGGATAAGCCCCATATTCATTCATTTAACAAATGTTAAATATTGGGGCAGCACCTGTGGCTCAAGGAGTAGGGCACCGGCCCCATATACTGGGGGTGGCAAGTTCAAGCCCGGCCAGCCCCAGCCAAAACTTAAAAAAAGAAAAAAAGAATGGTTAACAAATGTTAAATATTGATTGATTGATTGTTTGCATAGCATTGTGTGCGGCAGTTTCCTTTAAGTAAGTGAGGGAAAAGAAATAACAGAACTGACTCGGTGCCTGTGGCTCAA